TGAGGTTAATGCAAAGAAATGTTAATGTAAAAAATTTAAAGAATATCATTAGTATGCGATTATAGTGTAAGACTTGTTAAACTTCACCTACATATTGCTTATCATGTGAATCACTCTACTATAGACTTTTAAAGTCTAATTAATGTATTTGTTAGGATGGATATTATGATATTGGGATTGAGATGTGTTAACTATGCGATCCAATTTGTTTGACTTGTTGGAAGTCTTCAACTTAATGTACTTCTTGCAACTAAATCCAAAACTTTAGATTATTGAATCTAAATCAATGTATTTGTTAAAGTGGATATTATGATATTGGTTAATTGGTTTGCTAAAGTAGAATTATTATTAATTTATAGAGTGCTCTAATTAATGTCTCACTTGCTAAGGGAAAAAAGATTTTTGTACAAGTTGTGATATTTATCAATATAGAATTGATCAATCTGTTATTAATAAATGCCCTTGTTAATTAGGTTTTTATTAAGATATGAATGAAATATGTTAAAGTATTAATTTTCATAAAATCAGGATGTCATTATAAATGTTAAACATGTGTTTAGTAAAAGGATAATTGTTTAAGTTGTGTTTAATCAAAAACTTCAAATAGACTCAGCATCTCTAAAAGTTGTATTTGCAAGGATGGCTACTTTGATAATGACATATAATCAGATTGCTTAAAATGCAGTCCATAATGTAAATTGTGTTTAAACTCATCAAATAACTGTTTAACTTGCTATGGTGATCTGAGAGAAGAACCCCCCGTTTGTAACTGCAAACTTGGTTATTTTGAGACATTCTCTGGGATTTGTGAACGTAATCAATTATCATTATAATATAGCTTGTGAAAATTAATGTTATAATTGTGAAAAGAGTCCATCTAATTGTTTATCATGCTAAGAAGGGAGAATTACTTCAACTTTGTGTTTGTTAAGAGGGGTATTATGAAAGTGGATAACCTCATTGTGATTGTATTTTTCTCAATTATACTCTAAGAATGTTCGTTTTAATGTAAAACATGCAAGGATTCCTCAATAAATTGTTTAAGTTGTAAAGGAGATCGGATTAACATTCCTATTTGTTCATGTCCTGATGGATATTATGATGATTACTTGAATGATCTTTGTTAGGTTTGTAATTGGTTATGCTAAACATGTAACTTAGATGGCTGTCTAACATGTAAAGCAAATAGGATCTTATCTCCTGAAATGTCTTGTGATTAACCACCTGGTTCTGTGAGTTATACTGATACTCCATGGTGTTCAAGTATTAATTCTTAATGAATATCAAAGCTTGTTAAGTAGCTGTACTCAAAATTAGGTTCTCTGATGACATGCTCTCAATATTCGTCAAATTTGATTTTTCTTTGAATCCACATTTTTTCACTACTCAATATTAAGAAAATATCTGTTAAAAAATATTAGAAGATCAAACCTTTTAATTACTTGGTAGGGATCCTAATTGTTATATTGATCCTAATGATGATACGATAATAATAATAGGGGTAGGATAATAACCTAGGATTCTTCCAGGAGATTTGATCTTAATCTAAGAAAAACATTTGGGCCATTAAGGTTGCGATGAGCCATTAGTTATTTTTATCTTTAATTAAATTAAAAGTCCTATAAACCCAGTATCTCCAATTTTATTATACGATGAACCTACTTAATTAATAAATCCTTGTGATGATAATATAATACCTTTGAAATCACAATTAAATGATGGACTTAGAAGTTTGGTTGCAATAAAATGGACCTATTTTGTAATTGGTCCTAATGGCAATGGTGATATTGATAACTTTATTGCTTCATAAACAAAATACTAAATTTTAGAATTGGTAATCCCATTTGAAACTCTACCAAAATAATCCAATATTACTTTCCAAGTGGAATTTCAAAATTTTGTTTCAAAATTAGGTGTTTAATAAATTAAATTGTAAACCAATTCTGGTCGCTTTCCCACTATTCTTTGGGTTTCAAAACCTACATATTATACATTTGAACCTATTGTTTTGGAATTTAATATTAAAAAAAAGGCTTGTTCCGATATGAATGCTACTTAAGTAGATAACTCTTAATTTTCTTTATCATTAGTTGAAATATACAAAAACGATTCCAATTCGAGGTCATCAAGAGTAAATTATTCAGAAATCACAAGTCAAAATAATTTTATTGTTACTATTGAAAGATATACTTTGACTCCTATGGTTGCATATACTTTTGAATAAACAACAAGCGATGTAATAGTTAATATTTCAACTAAAAGAAATATTACAATTGAAATTAGCTCAGGAGGTATTATGTGTCAATTTAATGGCACCAAAAAGATTTAAAATCATAGAAGAGATACTTAAATATTCATCTCATGTAAAGATTTAGATACTTAATACAACTGGAATTAAGATCCTAATATTGAAATCGATGTCCAGTGTTTTGACTTTAATATGAATTCCCTCTGTGTAGATATATAAAACAAAATAATCCAAATTAATAAAACTGATACTTTCCAAACCATTCCAAAATACACAATATATCCTTATACTATTTAAAGTTGGACAGTAGTGGCTACAAAACAATCACGCTAATATAAATTTGAATAAAAATTAGTTTATATAGATGAAAATTTTGAATTATTGAATGTCACCTACAATTAAGGATATTTAATGAGACCAGTCAATAATTACGAAAATTTGGAGTTCATCATTAATATTCCTTTTCAAGATAGATAGTATCTTCTTGAATATCAAGTTGCTATCATTTATAATTTCTAACTCATAAAGATTTTGCAATCTGAATACTTTTAATTCTAATTTAATATATATGATTATTACTAGAAATTTTCAGGAGTAAAAACAATTAATTTGAAATTTCTGGCTTAGTTTACTAATGAGATCATACCTTGCTAAGAGGATTTATAAATAATGATTAATTTACCGCCTTCCTGTTTTGTGAGCTTGAGTGAATAAATAGTTCAAGCATTAAAACCTTTAAAGGTACTTACAAACTGCCATTTTTCTAATACCGCTCCATTTACTTACCAATTGAGATACTTTCTTCATAATTAAGATTTAATTGATTTTATGAATCGAACAAATGATTATTCATTAATTTTG